TCATGGAACTCACTAACCGAATCTATAAAGGTGGGCTTGATATCTATTTGGAATGATCTTCCAAAGCGTCCTAAAAAAATCTGATTGGTTCTTCAAGGTCAACTTTTGACAAATCATGTTTTTGGCTATGATTCTTTAACTTCGCTCTCTTTATTATTTCACGGTTTCTTCTTAGCTAGCTAGCTACAACTTGAACAATGCGAAAACACAAAATACCTAAGAAATTTCTTTGTGGATAAAATTTATTTTGATAAAGTCTCAAAGTGTTACACAGTAATATTTATTGGTGACAACGTTTTGGAGTACAATTTATTGCTGCTCATAATCATATCAAGGTACTCACTCACACAACTTTCTAACTTCGTTTAGATAATTCCATTATTTTCCATCGTTTGACTTGATTGGTAGTAGTATTTTCATATTTCCCATATGAGTGATGGACCATTCCTATTGCACGTGTTGGGTGTAGTAGACTCGACGAACCAGGCAGGATTCAGTAATCAACTTCTCTCTCCACCTACCTAATATGACTCTTTGGAATTTTAACCCTCTCATAGCCTATTGGTGACAAATAACTATCCTATAGAATTCATTAGGAAGATCAGAAAAGGTCAAAATAAAAATAATGGGGAAACTAATAATGATAACATAAATAAGAGAGAATATAAGGCATCTACTGTTATACCATATATGGAGGGGACATATGAGACCCTACGTAGAATTCTCAATTAACAGGAATTAGAGTGGCACTCAGACTTCCGAACTCACTAAGGTTGGACAAGCTCTGTAGGTTAAAAGACCCTGTACGCTGACCCAATCAGATAAAATACTATAATTTACAAAATACCTTGCAATAACTGTGAGTGAGGTCAACTACATAGGTCAAACTGGTAGATCAGGAGCAGTGAGATCGCCTGTCAGAACATAAGGATTTAGCTAAGGTAAGAATGATTGACGCCGAGAAGTAATTTAGAAAAAAGCTCAGCGATTGCAATGTTTGCATTAGCACACAACCACACAATGGAGTGGGAGAGGGTTAAAATTCTAAAAAGTATTCTAGGTAGGTTCTATCTCCCGTGTGAAGTGGCATAATAAGGTGAGCAATATTGAGGTTAGGCGTCGAGTGCTAGGTAAACAGGGGAAATCAATGGACGAGGCTGTGAAATTGCATCGACTGAGATGATTTGGACATGTGTTACGAATGCCTAGTCATCGCCTTCCTCGACAACTGGGAAATGTTAGCTGACGTAGGGTCAGGCTGGAAAAGATCCAGTGGTGGTCAAACCAAAAGATGGCTTCATCAGTCAATGAAATCAACAACAGTTAGTTTAAGCCAGCTAGCCACGTATGAAGGTGTAGACTTCCTGGTTGGGGTCCTCGGGGCGGTAAACACCAATGGCTGAACGCAATTGATTATATGGATCACAATCATTCTCGGTGATGGCTGGCGCAGATGCATCCACTACCTGTGACTTATAATTTCTAATGAAACTATATTGTTCTTCGTTCGTTGTTACTATTCCTTTGTCTCATATCTCTATTTACTGTTTGTGTTTTGCTTTTATTCTACTTTCTTCTCTTCATTTGTGTGCTACATGAAGAGTGTGGCGACTTGAAATGCCGCACAGTGGTGCAAAGTTCTATGTCGAAAACTGACATATATTTGAAATAAACTTGTCTACCGTAGAATTATTATCATGCACCACCTGCAAACCGTATGCTTATTTTTGTGTTTTTTTGTTTTGTTTGGTTTCTTTTAGATCGTCTTTATTTCTTATCGTGTAAAACGCCACCAAGAAGCACTTCTGCGATTCATTTCTTTTCAACAGATGATGAACTGTGCCTACGTATAATATTTAGTTTTAACTGTGTTGGTGACGATTGCTTAAGGAAAACGTAGACGGCTAAATTTCTTTTGTCTGTCGATTATTTTGGACGCTTTCGGATTGCTCGCAGTATAACACAGCATATACATATCTATATATTTAAAATTTGAAAAGGGTACTTACTGGATGTGTTCTGGGATGATAGTCACCAATAAAATTAACTCTCCTCTGCGTGCAAAAAACAAAATTTAGTGTTACCCTTAACGTACGTTGGTAATAATAAATCCTTGCTAGATAATATTACTAAAGATAGTGTTAATTATTATCCTACATAATCTTAAATCCTCTATTATTTTGTTTATTTTAACTGACCTTTCATTTTTCATATAAACTGAAATGACAAGTAAATATACGTGATCAGATTGTGTTCAAAGTGTATTACGTGAATACATCATATTTTTTGCATAAACCCGGTCCTTTACTAACGTTACCACATATAATTTGGTGGTCGGTAGACTAGCAGTAGAATTTAGGATGCGCATTTCGTACTATTCGGGACTCGTCATCTGGATGCACGTGTATTCCCCACCCAGGAAGTGATGGAATTCCCACTGAGGTTTGAACCCAATACCCATCGTATCAAACGTGCCAAAGCGCTATCCACTTAGTCCTTGGTCCACGAGTCACACCTCTTTCGCAATGAATATCAGTTATTATTTGTTGTTCAAGTGCGTCGGTGGTGTAGTGGTGGTTAGGACTCGCACTGACCATTTACATGGTCCGAGGTTCGATCCCCTGCCGACGTACATCTGATATATCAGTGGTCGGCCTGCAAAATTTGGGCTAACGATATCACATGTTGAAAATTTCATGCTTCTACCAAAATTACTCTGTGGAATCAAGCCATAATAAAAAATAAAAGTTAATTTTGTAATTTTCCGTTGATTGATTTTCCATATTGGACAGAAATGTTCAACCTCTGTTAATACCATCACTTACTGGAGAATGACGACAGGCACATCCATCTTAAATTCGACTGATAGTCATCATCCATCAACTTACTTCCAGTTAGTCCCTAGATATCGTTGAAGCATCCCCAGTAGGAGCCGACATATCAACACAGGCAAAACACTTCAGTCCAATCAAATCACGGGAAAATCAAGAGTTGAATTACAAAAATAACAGCTACCGAAGCGGTGACCAGTAGGGTACAGCAGGTTGAAGGTGATGAGGCAGTAACTCACCGAAGAAGACATTGCGAAATGGTCTCGCTATGTCGTGAATTGGCAGAAGTTAGGATTCGAGGACCATTGGATCGGATCCCAGTGGCTCAATGGTCTACGAGCTCGCCTTGTAACCAGAAAGTCCTGGGTTCGAACCCCAGTGGGTGCGTACTGCTGAAGAGTCCCAAACTAGGACAAAAAGCTGTCCAGTACTCCCAGGTGTATATATATATACATATATGTTGAAAGGACTAGTCCTTTTGACTGTGTTCTTTGGCTCAGAGTCAAAATGCCCACCAACTACACATACACGTGGTCCTGGGCTCGATTCCCAGGTGACACACTTTTGAACCTCATCTAGCCGGTAGAAAAGCTGGCAAAAAAGGAAGTAAGGCGGCTTGGGCGTAAGGTAGGTGACCCCACCTCATAAGAACACAACATCACCTCTACTGAAACATGACAAAAGCCTTAAGGTTAAGCTCCATGTTCCACTTAGAACACAAGGAATGACGGTAAGGGGAAAAAATTTATAACTAATTAAACAATTATTTCCGATACAGAAAGGAAGATGAAATTTGCAGTATATAATGATATCATCGTTCTATTTCAGAAGTTCTCATCATCTGCACACCACTACCTGAAATTACAATGGTTATATAAATGATGATAATAACATACTTTAATGTTTGAGGCAAAATGGATACCCTAAGGGATTTATACAGAAGTATAGCAGAGAATAAGATAAGGAAGAAAAGCATCTAACTGCAGAAAAGAAAAAAGTGTTTATTTGTCCCCCATTAAAAGGACATGCAGTGTCACAAAAGATTGACAAAAGACTGAAAGTTGCAATAAATAGAAACTTCCCGGCAGCAAAACTCATAACTCCTATAATCCACTCAAAACTGGATAAATACCCTGATGATGTCACCTCCAACTGCGTTTATGAATTCACGTGCACTTGCGGGAGCAAAGAAGGGCTTCTATCCGGTTTTCTGAACATATTCCAAGAAACCTGTGCCTGAAAGGAAGCAAATATTCTCAGAGTGCAATTACCAGACATATTGTTGATACTGGACATCTCGTAGAGATTTCTAAGTCCTTAAAAATATTAAATAGACAAAGGACAGCAAATTTACTACCATTTTCCCGAAGCGATCGCAATCAAACGATTTCAACCAACCAGACTTATGCATACAGAAAGAGAGTGTGATTAATCTCTCACTCCCTCGGTAACTGAATTTTGATTTTGATTACTTTTTGTATTTTTGATTACAGCTTGATTTCACACTGTATTTTTGATACAAGTATGGAATTTTCAGCATGGATATCGGTAGCCCAAATTTCTCAGGCCGACCATAGATATCAGGTGTTCGTTGGTAGGGGATCGAACCTCGGACCATGTGCATGGTCGGCGAGAGTCCAAACCACTGTGCCACCGACGCACATCTAATTCATCTAATTCAGTGATCTCAACTCACTGAACAAATTTCAATCTCATAAACTGTAACCGCTTTTGTTTTTTGGAGTTGCAATGTGAACCTACAAGCTAACACTGTTCTGTTAATCAATTTTTCCTGTTTTCTGTCCTCCCGTTCTCCCCTTGTTTTCAACATTGAAAGCGTATAAATTGATGATGAAAACTTAAACGAATAAAAATTGTAATGGTGCTTACATTTTGGATGCGTCAATTTTATAGTATCTCTTCTATACTACCACTCAAACATTAAAGTATGTTATAATCATCATTTATATAATCATTGTAATTCCAGGTAGTTAATGGCAGTTGATGAGAACTTCTGAAATAGAACGATGATATCATTTTATACTGCAAATTTCATCTTCCTTTCTTTATCGAAATTTATCAAGGGAACTAATTGTATAGACAATAATTATTTATAATGAAAATTACCCCCACCATCATCATCATCAACAACAACAACAACAAACTCACCTCTTTTGTTAGACTTTCAGCTTCAGTTGGATTGACAACAACACCAGGTGTTTTAGGACTAGCACTATTACTACTACTACATCTGCCATGTGAATTAAATGTACATAAGCAATTATTATCATCTGTTGAATAATTGGTTGGTTGAATCCATGTCAGCGCGTCTGGACGTCTAGATATCAGAGAAAATTTTTCAGTCAGACAATTTATTCGACTAAGAGCATTAGAAATATTAGCACAACTTTGATGAGAATGTGAACACGCTTGTTGTAGATGATGATGATAATGGTTCCAGTGATCAGTTAAGCTTTGAAGTTTTTGGATTAAATTATTTAACCGAGTGTAGTACACTGCATCCATATGTTGTCTTGAATGATGAAATGTGTTCCTGTTTTAGAAAAGAGATGATAAGGAAACGAAATGGTGTAAGTAGACTACTCTTCAAGAAGATAACAAATTTATCAGCATAACAAACAGCTCCAATGAGGTTCATAAAATAGTTTTGACTATTTTTAATTCAATTTGGCCTTTCCTGTTGATTGATTGAACCCACAGTAGACGTTGCGACGATGTCTGAAGAGACTGAACTTGAAGTAATATGGTGAGTGGTGGAATCCAGGATGCGCGCATTTCGTTCTGTTTGGGACACGTCATCTGGACGAACCTGAATGGTTAATGGACTCAGTGGGAACTCTATCACTCCACTAGGGAATGAAGGTACATCCAGATGGCGAGTCCTGAGTAGGGCGAAATGATCATCCTCATCGTCCGCCAAATTACTTAGACTCTCGAGTAACCGGATGAAAAAGTAGCTAATTGGAGATATTTATAACTACGCATCTCATGTTCTTGTATGGTCTAAAAACCTAGTGCAGGAACATTCTGATCCATTATTTTTACCTAAAATTCGCGAAAATAGTCCTATAAGGCCTCCCAATAAATTTGTGTTACCAACATATCTTAATGCTTATATGATCAAGATTAGTTACAGGATTTCATCATGAGCTAACAACAAGGAGTACTGGACAGCTTTTTGTCCTAGTTTGGGACTCTTCAGCAGTACGCACCCACCGGGATTCGAACCCAGGACCTGGTTACAAGGCGAGCTAGCTCGTAGACCATTGAGCCACTGGGACCCGGTCCAATGGCCAGTCCATGAATTCCAACTTTTGCCGATTCACGACATAGCGTGACCACTAGCCAATGTCTTCGGCGAGTATTCGTCCTGAAAACCGACCTTCTGTACCCTACTACTGGTCACGACTTCCCGCTAGAACCCCAGGTAACTACCTACCTGAATAGGGCCAGTCTCATCTCATTGATTTTCAAGTATTGGTTTGTAGGGATTTGACTGAATAGTTACAGGATTTCATCATGAGCTGACATCGGATAGAGAACCATTGTAACCAATCAATTAAATCCCTACAAACCAATACTCGATGATCAAGATTAGATAAGTCAATTTACCTATAATAACATGATAGTATTATTTTTGACTACAGGTTTGATGACGAGCTGAGATCAGTTAGAGAACCATTGGCGAATCTGCAAAGAGTATTGGCCGACTGTTTCGTCCTAGTTTTGGACTCTTCATCAGCACGTCCTCACTGCCAGGGTTCAAAACCCAGGAGACCTTCTAGTTACAAGGCTAAGTGTGTATACTATAGAAGTATGTAGGTGTAATTCTAGCTCCCTTCATAATCGACAAAGTAAGACGAAGTTTCGGTAAACCATTCAACTTTGCCACACATTATTACTTACGCAACTACAATTTCAACACATTTTATTTCAATTGAATCGCTCAAGCGTCTATTATTACACACAGATGCCTGAGAAAGAAAAACACTGTAGGACATAATTACTTGATTGGGTTAAGTTATGTGTATTTTTTTAAAGGCTGGATAAAAGCTTCTGTGATCATGAGCAGTAATCTTGCTCGAAATATTTCCAAAAAACAAAAAAATTATCATTGTGTGTAAACTATTGAAATATAATTATAATTTACTTGACTTTTTCCTTTAGAATTTACCAGTACAAATAAAATAAACTAGAGGATAAGATTCCCAATCCTGATCCAGATAGCCTTGGTTGTACTCAGAGCGCGGGAGCACTTTGGCTCACCTTGCCTAGTTTACTAACCCTTCTTCAGCCTGGAAAAAGTAGGAAGGTTGGGCGTGGAGCTGGCGACACTACCCCACAAAGCCAATTCAATCGCTACCGAAATTTTAAAGTGCAGTAAGGAAAATATAAAAAAGTAAAGATATGCTCTACAGTAATCGCATAGACGACTTTATTGACGAGGGCTGATGAAAGCCTTCAGGAAGCCAGTCAGCCAATGTGTCTTCTTTCGATGAAATAGAAAGTAAGCTTGGAGACACGGAGTGTCAACACCATATTTGTGACTGAGGCAACGCTCTTCAAATTACAAAATACATGAGATTATATGGTATGGAAGTGGTTGTGGGGATCTGCGAGTGCAGATGGAATAGAAGTGAACTCTCCCAACTTTTAACTAATGCAGAGTCGATAATTTAATCCAATCAGTCAGATGACAATAGGAGAAATATATTTACATCGACATAAAGTTAATAGGATCCACTGGCTTCATCATACTTTATACCGAGAAATGTTATTATGTTGTAATATCAGGTATGTAAGTAGCTGGGATTTTCAGATATTAAAGAATATAAGTAAACTGTAGTTTGAGCACAACCGTCCCTTAGTGTAACTGAATAGCTAAGCACTATGTCAAAAATTGCCAGCTTTGATATTATTAACATCACTTGAATGGGTTAGTTAAATTAGGGTTGACGCGTCAGAGGGCTTGAAGCGTATTATTATTTTCGTCAATGTTCTTGTCTAGGTATATATATCCACTTATGGTCATCTCCATTCACGTATACGCCATTGGCCATATGTATGTATGTATATATCATTGTTTTCTAGTAAACGATCTGACTTCTTATACGGATACTGTTAAATATACTTCCCATCTCAATTCGTTGTATGTTCTCGTTTAAGTGGAGTCGTGGGGCGGAGGGAACAAGTAGCTGTCATATAATGTTATTGGTGTAGTCAAGGTTATTCGTGATCCATGCGTTTGTATTCAGCATCAGCGTCCCTAGTCTATTTCAATCACAATGTTACTGCATAATAACAATAACAAACAGCTACGCCATTCGAATAAATGTGCCCAATTTCTAGTTCCCACTTAATACAGTGTTTTTACATCACCTTCCTCGACGGACACTGTTAGCTTACTGACATAGTAATAATAATTTGCTTTATTCCAAAACAGTATTTGTGATACAGAATGGAATTCTCAGCATTTCACCAAATACACTATTGCATCCAGCTAGTACATTAACAATAAATAAATAAAATTCTACATAGATCATGGGTAATCTCGGTTCATTATGACAACAACATATGGGCATGTCGGTAGCAAAGCCAAAAGTGAACAGATTGTTTGAAGGTGTTAGAAAAGTAGATACTACTAGCATATTTACTAGCATAAGCAGAAGAAAGAAACAAAGCAGGGCATAACAGAGAAAAGAGAGAGAGAAGACGAAAAGAAAGGAAGAAAACGTTGTACCTATAAATGATATGAGTTGGTGTTAGAAAGACGAGATCCAGTTGTCTTACTGACTATTTAATAAGTTATAGGTATCACGTGTAATGCTTTCTATATCGCACAGAACACGAGCCAAGTAGCTAGGGTATGGTTGAGCTTCTGTACTTGCTAGTGCGAGCATATAGTTTTCTATATAGGCTTCTGGTCTGGTATGGTCTGATGAGATAGATACAAGGGGAGAGTTGTGAATGAAGCGGGTGGTGTGAGTTAGATAGAATGGATTTAGCCCATTTTTCACATGAGTCCATGTGCCTGTCAACCAGAATATTAACAATTTGGTTAAGTGGTACATGGCTTACCCTGCTGACAACCTTCAACATCCTGCGTAATAAGGTATAGTCTTTCTTCAGTATCCCAGGAATACTAAGGGTGAACTATAGAGAATAATAGGCAGAATACGGGAGTTAACGAATCGTAAGAGTAAGGGTTGAGTTGGGTTATTCCAGAATGTCTTAACTTCTTGATGTAGAAGGTAAGACGGAATATTTTCTTATAAATCATCAAGATATGAGACGACCAGGAAAGATCAGAAGATAGAGTGACGCCTAGGTATTTAATTTCCGACTTGGTTTCTATTTCAGTGCCATCTATGTTGTGCACACCTCGTGAGTGATAACCAGTTTGTTTAGGTCAGTCAGATTTATGCCTATTGGTGACATTGACTGTTTCGCATTTAGAGAAATTTAAGGTAAGACCATTTTCACTGGACCATTGGCGGCTAATTTCTGATAAAAAGCCATTTAGTTTGGAGCAGTCACTTTGACATTTGACAAGCAAAGATACAATCAGGTCGTCAGCGTATTTGACAAAATTAATGTCATTTGAAGATGGCAAGTCGTGTAGAAAGAAAGAAAAGAGAAGTGGGGAGAGTACAGCACCTTGAGGGACACCAGTTTCAGTGAGCACAGCACAGGAGGATTTACCTTTGTATACAGTGTACTGAATTTTGTTTGAGAAATAGGAATGCAACCAGTTAGTGACCCAGGACTCAGTTTGTGTCATGGAGAGCTTATTTAGCGAGAGACATCTAGGTACAGAGTCGAAATCAGAAGTGAAGTCGAGAAACGTGCAGCGGACGTATAGGCAGGTGTGCTCGAATCCTTATCGTATTACTGTGCGATTGTATCAAATAAACTTTTCTATTATTGGTATAAAATGTCTAAATATTATTTTATCAGATGTTCAGAACAATATGCCATTCATAATTAACCGATTTAGACGAAGTCCATCTTGACTACCAGTCCTTTACTTTGTCACAGTCATATGTTTGTATCTGTAAAACTCGGAGACCGTAGTAGTGTGTAATTTCATGTCACTTTGTCTATTGGATACATGACACTGCGAGACAGTATTATTTGTTGGATCACATTTCTATCACTCAAGAGTGCTTTGACTGCTGTTGGTTAAATCTCCTAGTCATAATCCTGAAGGATAATGGTCCCCACTGAATTAGAGCTTTGACTGCCACTCACTGCTTCAGTGTGCTCGTGGTTTTCGTCTGGATGGTCAGAGTCAGATTACTGACTCACCATAAGGACAAAAAAAATTGGGCGCTGTGGTAGAGTATAAATCCATTATGGCGAAAAATTTTATCTTGTTAAAATCACACAATCGTATCAACTTGGTATGATTAAGAGCAGCAATAAATTGTGCTCCAAACATCATCAGTAAATATTACTGTATGAGACTGTGTGACTTTATCAAAATAAAATTTTATTCATAGTTGAAATATACTGACTCTTCAGTTGGCAATTTCGATAGTCCATATCCATTCCATCTGCTCTCGCAGATTCCTAGCACTTCTATACCATATGTTCTCATATATTCTTAGGCTACGTAGGCAGCCTTCCCAGCCAGCTTCGTACATCATCCCAAGAACATTCCACATCCACATTCTTATGCTTGCTTTCATCGAAAGAAGACACGTCGACTGACTGGCTTTCCGAAGGCTTTCCCCAGCCCTTTGTTTCATTTCACCTCTCTGATTCCAGCGATAAATAAGTTTCTTTCTTTACTTTTTCTGTATTCTTAATATTTTTCCTGTGCATTAAAGTTTCCGTAGCAGTGTGGTTGATTTTCTGGAGTAGGGACGCTACTAGCCCTTCGTCTTTTCCTGGGTTTGGAACCGGTTAGAAAACTAGCGAGCCAATAAACGCAGCTGTTAATATTAAATTGAGAGTATGACCGTAAATGGCATATTACCAAGTCACTGAAAAGACACAGGATTATGACTGGTGAACTAGTATTTGGATACATCATTTTAATGTATTTAAATAACCTTGATGTACATGTCGTTTATTGTCAGCCTTTGATTGATTGATTGATTGATTGACTGACTGACTGATTAATGTGATTATGGCAGCCCACCGATCAAATGTGTCATTTCTATCCTACCACCGACTATGCCTGTGTCACGTGATTGTTAGTCATCCTATTACTTAGACCTGTGTTGTTTGCCTATTATTTTTGTCTGCTTATACATATACACATTATGTGTGTGACTCATTAAAAAATTAAGCATTTTGATTCACAGGTCAATATTCTTCCGTATATTTTTGTATTTACTTGAAGGTCAACTACTTTCCATTTATTGCTGTCAATATGGTTGAGCAAGTTCAAGCGGATGACAAATTTGTCACATACACCTACTAGTCATTAGGAAAGGCACAGTTTTTGTTTAGCGAATAAATAGTCTTTCTTTTCAACGACTTCATTTTCAAGCCAACTACTGTATAAGGACGTTATTTATTTTTTTTTTTTTAATTTTGATTACAGCTTGATTCCACACCGTATTTTTGGTACAAGTGTGGAATTTTCAGCGTGGATATCGGTAGCCCAAAATTCGCAGGCTGACCATAGATATCAAGTGTGCGTCGGCGTGGGCTCGAACCTCGGACCATGTGCATGGTCGGCGAGAGTCCTAACCACTGTGCCACCGACGTTGTGTATATTACGGATAGAAAAGGCATTAAGTGGCACTAGAAATTGCTTAGTCAGTATTGCACATATGATAATAATTTTTGTTATTCCTTCACGTACCCCAGTGGAACATAGGGCTTCAAGCTAGTGACTTGAAGTTTCTGTAGCAGTGTTTATTTTATACAGGATGGGGTTGCTAGCCCGCTTCATGCCCAACCTTTCCTCTCTACCAGCATTATTTCTAGCTTAGCGAGGTAAAGGGAGTGCGTCGGGAGCCGGGGATCGAACCCCGGACCAAATGCATGGTCGGCAAAGTGTTCTAACCGCTGTGCCATCGACGTGAATGCATTCATTCTTTGTGATTTGTCATATCCAGGAAAACTCTATTCCTCTTTCATACCACTACATACCTTTTCCCTCACTCACACTTCTGTTTAGCTCTCTCTTTTTTTTGAATCTCTTCGCTGTTTGTGCCTTTTTCTTATAATCTCTAATTTCTCTCATCTCTTGCTTTATGTGCTACATGGAGGGAATGTGGCAACTCGAACTGTTGCACTTCTATGCCAAGTTCTTTGGTGAAACCAGTCAGTCAGTAGTCATTTAGTGGATGAAGACTAGCAATGAAATCCAGGATACGCATTTCGTCCTATTTGGGACCTGCGATCAATCTTCAATGAGTGATATTATCAACAGAGATTGGACATTTCAGTCCAATATTATATAAGAGGTGGCTCTAGTGGGACAAATAACCTAGTGGATAACGCTTTAGCGTTTGAAACGACAGAGAGGTGCATCTTTAAAGTCTTAGTAGGAACATCACCATCCCCTCACCTATCTCTCTGGGGATTTCAGGTACATATTCAGTTGAAGAGCCGTATGATAATAACGACGTGTTAGACAGCCATATAAGCGCACGAGTCTTTGATGGTGAAACAAAAGTCTGATATTTTGATGAATCAATTTGGTTAATTATTTCCAAAATATTTTGAATATGACTACCGGAATATACATGTGTTTCAAATATTTTACAGATATCAATAATTATTCATCATGCCTCGGTGGCTTAGTGGTTAGGACGCTCACCGACCATGCATATGGTCCGGGGTTCGATCCCTGGCCCCCGACGCACTCCTTTACCTCGCTAAGCTAGAAATAATACTGGTAAAAAGGAAAGGTTGGGCATGAAGCTGGCTAGCAACCCCATCCTGTATAAAATAAACACTGCTAGAGAAACTTCAAGCCACTAGCTTGAAGGTGCCCTATGTTTCACTGGGGAATGTGAAGGAAAGAAACAAAAATAATTCATTAGAAAAATTTTGAAATTTAATTACACACATGTATTTTTTGATGAGTAACTTACATGGTTTTGCTAGTGAAAGTATCACCAACGTCATATTTTATCATCATATGATTGCTATGAAGGTTCGGACTACGCAACCGGTTTGATTGTTTAGCATTGCTTGTAGTGGTGGTGCATGTAGGAAGTTGTGAAGGGACCTACAACATAATAAGCAAAGAATTAGAGATTTAAATTTATTCACATCTAATACAGAAATTGTTGCAAAATGTCGAGTTGAAATCAGTGAGAATAGTGTATATATATATATATATATATGTACGCATCATCATCGAACAAGGCCTAAAGTGGTGGTCAAATCTCTACCGCAACTAAATCGAATTTGTAAAGGAATTCAACGACGTTGACTGTGGAGTAGTTTGAAAACTACTTCAACAGTATGGAGTGCAGCCCCCCCCCAATCTTTATCAACCTCATTCAACAGCTACCTAGCACTATATGACAGTGGGACGTTTCAGGTGGTCAACAACGGAAAACTCAGTAAGGTCCTTAAAGTGAAAACAGGCGTTAGATACGGCTGCCTACTATCACCAAGGGTATTTCCACCTGTATTGGACTGGATTATGCGGAACTCTGTGTGTAGGGAGGGCGAACGCAAGAGTACGTTGGACCGATAAGAAGACTCTAGAAGATCTAGATTTCGTGGATGACTCATGTCTAATTTCACGTATATCTGGAGACTTACAGGCAAACACCAACAAGTTGCCAGTAGAACAAGCTGACAGACAATACAGGGCTTCAGGTGAACAGAGAGATGATGGAGATAGCCAACAACAACAACAACAACCAGTGGCGATCATTATCAAAAGGAGAAATTTGAGAAGGGTCTTTTATCTAGGCATCACAGCCTCAACTGCAGGCGGAATGGATGAAGATGTAAAAGCCGGAAACGGAAAGGCGATGCAGACCATGATCACTCTGAAATCAGTATAGAAATCTTCTGTACTTAGTATATACGTAAAAAAAATTCGGATTTTCAACATCTATGTTAAGTCAGTCAGTTTTTTTGTAATATGGGTTAGGATTATGCCGCATCTATCACGAAAAGCATTCCCAACAGACTAGTGCAGACTTTTATCAGCAGCGGTATTCTCTAATTCCATATTTAAGTTCAAATGTCCAGAAAGAATAAGCAACAAGCAAACTCTGGAAAAGAACCAACCACGGACCTATTGCCTAACAAATTTTATTTTATTTATTTATTATTTTTTTCCTTTACGTTCCCAGTGGGATATCGGGCTTCAAGCTAGAGACTTGAAGTTTCGGTGGGAGTGGTGTTTATTTTTACGGGGTAAGGTTGCCTGCCTCATACCCAACCTTCCCTCTTTACCACTCTTATTATTGGCTCAGCGAGGCAAAGGAGTGCGTCGGCCGGGGATTTAACCCCGGACCACCTGCGTGGTATATATATATATATATATATATATATATATATATGGCCCGGTTAGCTCAGTCGGTAGAGCATCAGGCTTTTAATCTGAGGGTCGGGGGTTCGAGCCCCCCATCGGGTGGTGGCTTTGTGTGCTTTGATGGCACAATGGTTAGGACTCTTGCAGATCATGCACATGGACCGAAGTTCGATCCTCTGCCGACGCACACCTGATATCTATGGTTGGCCTGAGAAATTTGGGCTACCGATATCACATACTGAAAATTCCATACCTGTACCATAAATACAGTGTGGAATCAAGCTGTAATCAAAAATTATATATACATATATACGCATCATAATCGAACAGGACATAAAGTGGTAGTCAAATCTCTTTTTTCGATTCCTGCCCGATGTACCCTTAAACCTCGCTAAACCAGTAACAAGACTGGTAAAGAGGGTAGGTTGGGCGTGAGGCTATGTGATAGGACCCAGAATAAAATAGCACATCATCCTTTCTCACGAATCATGTGATTTATCTTCTGATGGAGTTATTAGGTGACTGCATCACTTCCCACGCGTATTGTCGTTTGGTTTGTGATTAAACCATCGTCATTTATTTCACCTTGGTCTTTGTCGGATTGCCAACCAGTGAGAATAACCACATCCAGCCAATAAGAACAGTTCATTCCCACGGTTGTGAACTAACTGTGTGTATATGTATATGTGTATATATAATACAATACCTTACAGTCACAGGACAACCTTTGTCTTTTGATATTTGCGTGGCTCTGTGAATTATAAGGTGCAACGGACAAAAATAGACGTATTAGCGTACCAGTCGAGTTCATTACAGTTATAGTAATTAAAAGGCGCAGACATAACAAAGTAGCAACGGATTTTTTCAGTTCAGTTCAGATATAAGAGACTAGCAATCTCAACCCATAAAAATAAAACTACTTCTAGTGAAACTTCAAAACTCTAGCTTGAAGTTGCCCTATGTTCCACCATTAGGAACCCAAGTGAATGATAATATAACCATAAGTGTGGCGTCATGCAGATTAGTAGGAAGCGGTCAATACTGAAATCGACTGTTGACCGCGAAGTAATTTGGAAACTACTCGAGTCGAGTACTACGGCGTACAGTGTCCCAAATATTCATCAACCTTATTCAACAGCTGTACGACAACGGAACATGTCAAGTGATCCACAACGGAAAACTCAGCGAGGCGTTTGGAGAAACACAGAAGTCAGACAAGGGTGCTTATTATCACCCACCAATGATATTCCTAATTGTGGTCGACTGATTGGATTATGCGTCAGACAGTGGGAAACAAGAAGACAGGGATATCCTGGATCGACGCGAAGAATCTAAAAGAGCTGCATTTCGCGCGTGGATGATTTGTGTTTGATGTCACACAAAATCGAAGACTTACAAGCGAAAACCGACCGATAAACTGGTCGAAGAAGCATCAAAAACAGGACTCCAAGTGAACATAGACAAGACGGAGGTTATGAAAATAACCAGCCAACAACAGCAACATCCAGCGCCAATCATCATCAATTTGAGGGATTTGAAAGAGGTTACTCCATTCACTCACTGATATAGGGAGCATTGTCTCAACTACAGTCAGTCGGAACGGACGAGGATGTCAAATCGAGCGAGAATCGGGAAGGCGAGAAACACATCAACTTCATGAACCTGAAACCAATCTGGAAATCTTCGTCACTCAGCCACCATCAACAACAAAACTCAGTCGGATTTTCAATGCAAACGTCAAGTCAATCAGTTCTTCTATACGGATCAGAAACTTGGCGGGCGGGTCACAAAGAATATTTCCGACAGCCTGTTGGAGACCTTTATCGACATATGTCTTCGCTGGATCTATACCGAAGATCAGATGGCCGGGTCGGAAAGAATCACCAACAAGAAACTGTGGGCAAAAGCAAATAAAACAAGAACCAATCGCCCAACAAATATTCAGGAGAAAGTGGAGATGGATTGGTCACTCGCGGCTGAGGAGGCCGCTGGGTGACATCGCGCGCGTCAGGCCATTTCTCGAGTGGAACCAGGCCGAAAGGCAACCGGCGAGTCGGTCGTCAGTGCAAGAGTGATAGGGAGAAGATTGTGTGAAAAGGAGTTGAAACAGTATGGACTAACATGGATGGATGCAAGTGAAAAGTACAGCAGCAGAAGACAGAAGCAAGTGGAGACGTTCAGTTGAATTCTTATGTTCAACTGGGAACCCAAGTGAACAATAATAATAATGACTGTAGAGATGATAGAAGTGTTTATTTTTCAAATCTGGATGTAGCGTGCAATTTGGACAACTTGTTCAACCTTAGGACAGCCATTTCAACCAATGAGAACAGCCTATTCTCCTCTGACGTAGCCCAGCTTTATTTAGGGGAAAAACACATCATATTTATACAACCTTAGCCACACTAAAGGTTCATTACCAAGTGTCTTATCTGCTCCCGTCATAACAGGAGTATTTTTAACAAATAAACAGTCACTGTAATGAGATTACATATATTATAGTGTACTTACCTTTTTACTTTCACCGTCAACCAGTCGATATGACTTCTGTTTCAGTGTGTCTTTCTTATGAACACTATTACTACCTGTTGTTGGTGCCTGTGATTTACAATCATGCAAATTATCTGATTAATGAACAAAATGAACAGAAATATTCATTCAAGTGTAGGGATTAGATCTGATTGCTTACAAGATTTCATTATAAGCTGACACTGGTTAGAGAACAACTAAGCGAAACGGCTGCCCAGCACTCCCAGATTTTCTAATGGTTCTCTAATCGATGTCAGTTCATGATGAAAACCTGTAAAAAAATATTTATACTAATTTTCTTATTCAAACCTGTAAAGTCAAGCAACTTGTAGAATTAACTGACATATTTCACTGTTTAAAAGACTCACAAGCTGGCTACTGCTGTTGACACTGAGAGTTCATAAACACATTAGTGTGTTAACACAATACCATCAAACTTAATTCATTGAAGATCCGTTTAAGTGGACAACATACACGCAGTTGTCCAGTGGAAACAATCACGTAACTATTTCTCTTAATTATAGTGATAATAATTTGATTTATTCCAAAACAGTACTCATATGATAGTGTGAAATTTCCAGCATTTGGTACAATATTGCATCTAATTCACTCGACAACAGCAAAAACATTATATATATATATATATATATATACTCCAGTGCTGGTTTTCAATGGTTCTCAACCTCCTGGGTTCGAATCCCAGTGGGTGCGTACTGCCGATGATTCCCAGACTAGGATGAAACAGCAGCTGTACAGTACTCCCTAGTTTTCGATGGTATTCTTACTGATATCAACTCGTAATAACATAACTGACCATTACAAACCAAACTATAGAAAATATATGTTTTAGCCAGTATATAACTCGTTAAGTTACTACCAAATACACAAGTCTAACCACCAATATCAACGGAGCAGCTATCAAATGAATATTATAAGCCACATTAATGTATTAGGACAACGGACAAACAAATCCTTTATCTAGACGTTGAGAATTTATACTTTTGTTTAACCACAGATATTTTTCAACCTTATTATAACGTTATTCTCGGAAGAAAATTACAATAGCTTGTAAAAATGTAGAACTTTCCAGATTTTTCTTCAGGTTGAAAAAATCTATAAATACAATGGCTGTCTGTCTGTTTTCGACATAGAACTTTGCACCGATGTACGGCAGTTCAAGTCGCCACACTTCCTCCTTGCTGCACACAAAGCAAGAGAAGAAAGTAGAAGAAATGCACAATAGAGATAGTAAACAGAGGTGTAAGAGAGAAAGGAATAGTGATAACGAAGAAAAATATAGTTTCATTGGAAATCATAAGTCACAAGGAGTGGATGCATCTGAGCTGGCCACTGAGAGCGATTTTGAGCCATGTCACCAATTGTTTCCAACCATTTGTTTTTACCGTCCCGAGGACCCCAACCAGGAAGCCAGTCTACACCTTCCTACGTGGCTTAGACCAACTGTTGTGGATTTCATTGACTGGTGAGGCCATGTTTTGGTTTGACCTCCGCTAGCTTTTTTCCAGCCTGACCCTATATCCGCTAACATTGCTCGTCGAGGGAGGCCATGGCTTGGCATACGTAACACATGTCCTAGCCATCTCAGTCTATGTAACTTCACGACTTCGTCGATTGATTTCCCATGTTTACCTAGAACTCGACGCCTAACTTCAATGTTGGTCACCTTATTATGCCACTTCACACGGGAGGGAGATGGAACTCAGGCACCTATGATCAAAGACAGATAATCTTTTCATGTCTTCCACTCTCAGTGGCCAGGTCCCACAGCCAGCCATGAAGGAGGACGGAGCGGACTGATGAGCAGTACACCCGCCCTTTGGTCGGTAGCCAGCCGCATATCGCGTCTATGCCAGAGACGGTGTAAACAAGCATATGCGAAACTAGTCCTCTGTATCCGTGGCGAGATTTCGTCAGAGAACAATCCATTGGACTGGCTGGATGATGCAACTTCCCAAATAAGTGAAGCGGTCAACATGATCTACCACTTCACTTCCTATTTTTAAACTAGGCGTCGCTGTAGTCCAGTCCTGTAACATCATCTTGCATTTGGCGGGAGCGAATCGCATGCCAAACATTCGTAGCTTGTAGCTCAAGGTGTTTAGAAGATGAGTGAGCAATAGAGAGGTTTCGTGTGCTTTCGGATTGTGAGGGCGATTGTTACTTCCCGGCTGCCCACACCATGGAAGTTGGTTGCGTGACCGCAAAGCCCAGGGGACAACTGCTTGAGGCCGGTCACACGCGGCCTGCTTTTGTTTGTTCTTTATTGTTTTGTGTGTCTCAGTAGCATATTTATCACTCCTGTCCTGTGACACGGCAGCAGGAAGCGCGGTCGTTGTTAATCCGGGCCACGGCCGATCTGGCATGAAATTTTGTGGTTTTGTATGTATCATAATGTTGGATTGAGTGGCTGCTTTTTGTTTAACCACTATCCAAACAACCTTTCTGGCATGGTAGGACCTCAAGAGACATAAGTCTCAGCCAGTATAGCTTGATTAGGTCATTGTGGTGTTCAAGCCAGACCACCACGTCAAGGTAGCAGCTTTCGGTCGGGATAAATACAATGAATGTATCTTCAGGTAATGGAAGTCTAAAATATGCATTTTTACCCTAGAAGGAGAATGTTTTTCAACATTAATTCTATGTTGCTGTTCAGCTCATGAGAAAATCTTATGATGTTGGTCAAAACGACTGTTTAGTATTCAGTTGCAAGTGGAGTGTCCGTAATATGAATATAACCATCGTACTTTGGAGTTAGTTGTAATTTTTTATTTTCATTATATTTCACCTTTTTTCTAACGAGAGAGATCTACGAAATTTAACGATACAAACACTCTCAGTTAAAGCTAAAAGCGGAAATCATTCATTTTCTGCAGTTATAACAAAAAGACTAATTAGGCTTATATGCAATAGCTGTAATAGCACAGGTGCATTCACCATTTAGCTTTACACCTTCAGTATCTTATTGTTTTGTACACAATATTCTTTATCATTTCTGTCCTTTTTGCATCTATTACTTGTACATAACTTTTCTTCTGTTGGTCTTATTATCAAGTGCTTTTTAAATGATGTGTGTGTGTGTGTGTGTGGAATTCTCCATTACGGATTAAACTTGTTTTTAATAAAATCACACAGCGTTTGATATACAGTAATATTTACTGATGACCGATAATATTCTAATTGTGATGGACTGGATTATACGTCAGACTGTGTGAATGGGAAGCGAGGAGACAGGAGCACGCCGAACCACCGATGAGAAGACTCTAGAAGATCTGGATTTTGTAGATGATATATGTCTAATATCACACAAAAACTCGAAGACTTACAGGCGAAAACCAACAAGCTGGTTAAAGAAGCTGGCAGACAGTGAAGACAGAACTCCAGGTGAACATAAAACGGAGGTGATAAAGATAATCTACCAACCAACTAACAGCAAAAACCGGCACCAGTCACCATCGACGGGAGAGATTTGATAGAGGTTACTTCCTGCCTTCCCTTATCTAGGAAGTACACTTTCACATTCAGGTGGAACGGATGGAGATGTCAAAATCATAATCGGAAGGGCAAGATACACCTTCATCAACCTGAAACCAGTTTGGAAATCTTCTGCACTCAACATGAGGAACAAGATACGCATTTCCAACATCAATGTCAAGTTGGTCCTTCTAAATGTGTCGGAAACTTGCACTACGTGTCACAAAAACGATTTCTAACACACCACTGCAGACTTTCATCAACAGCTGCCTTCGCTTCATACTGAAGATCAAATGGCCAGAAAGAGTTAGTAACAAGAAGCTCTAGCTGGGGAGTAATCAACCAGGAAGCGATCACTCAACAAGTATGTAGGAGAAAATGCAGATGGATCGGGCATACATTAAGGAGACCGTCGAATAACATCGTGCGAAGCCATTGCTCGAGTAGAGGTCAAGTGGGAAGCGACGAGTGGGTCGTCCTAGGGTGAAATTGAGAAGATCGTGTGAGGAGGAGATGAGAGATTGTGGGCAATTGTGAACCAAGCTGAATAGGACGGCAGAAGGAAGGACAAAGTGGAGATGTGTTGCTGAAGCCCTAATGTTCCACTCGGAATACAAGGGAATAATAATAATAATAAATATATTTCCAGCACAATTTATTGACACTCATAATCATATCAAGGTACTCACACAACTCTCTTACTTCATTTATCTGCATGAGTAAAGTTGATTAGACATTCAAATGAAAATCAATGTAAGATAAAGTACATTCAGAAATAATGATATGAGTGTTACTGATCAATTAGAATTAGATGGGAAATAAGACGAATTTCTTTATAGTCAAAAGAAATAAATAAATAACTTGTTACAATGTTATAATTTGAATTGAAATACATTTTGACATTATTTATTATCCTCTGATTTGACTGGTAATAATATCCTTCATATCTCTGTTATTTGCATTGAGTCACTTCTATTACATGTGTTGTGTTGGTTGTAGACTTGATGATAAACCAGGATTCAGTAATCAATCTCTATCTCCACCTACCTATTTTACTTTTCAGAACTTGAACTCTGTCCCACCCTTTTGTGTGGTTGTGTGTGTGTTCTTTTCTAAATTATTTATCTTCGGGGAGGGGGGTCAACCATTCTCACCTTAGCTAAATTCTTATGTTCTGACAGGCCATCTCACTACTCCTGATCTACTAGTTTGACTGGCCTATGTAGTTGACTTAACTCACAGTCATTGCAGGATATTTTGTAAATTATATTATTTTGTCTAATTGGGTCAACCTACAGGGCCCTTTAGCCTACAGAGCTTGTCTTATCTGAGTGAGTTTGTATATTTAAATGCCACCCTGATTCCGGGCTTATTGAGAATCCTGCTTAGGGTCTCAGATGTCCCATCCTTATACGGTAAAACTACTGTAGACGCCTTATATTCTTTCTTTTTTATTTTATCATTATTAGTTTCGCCATTATTTTGATTTTGCTTTTAACCTTTTTTTGATATATCTAAGGTGAATTTTATAGGATAGTTAGTTATTTAACACCAACGCTTCTTGCTCTATCTGCTTCATTTCATCGTTTAGGTTTTTTGTTGTACTTGTTAGTGCTATTGCTATTGTCGAGTACCAACCAATAAATTTGTATATTTTTTGCTAATTGTCAAAAATGGATACATTGTACATAGTTTCTGTTTAATCAACTTCTTTATCAAATAGAAATAACTTTGGCATTCAAATGGAAACATAGTCGTGCTGTCCGTCGCTTAGTCTTCTCACTAGTTCATACTGTCTCCTTGCTCCACTAATACCCATATTGTATTCATTGGAATTTACAGGAACATGTCATCCTCGTCTGAAGACTATTCAACAACTAGTAAACAACTTCTACCAGTGGACATGACCCCAACAGCGAAACGGATCTGTGGATTATATCATTAATTAGCAGTAGTGGAATAAAACTGTATTTTCAAGTAACCATTAACTCGTTATTTGTACTTTGAATAAAATATACTGACTCAATACACTTTCATTACCTTGACATTTTGTACCGTTATAGAGTTCATTTTTAAGTCTCCTACATGTGTGTAGGTAATGAATTCAAATAAATTCACATCGACTTCTATTCCTTATGGTTTCATGCCGTATATATCTGGTTTACTAATTGGTGAATCTTATAAAAACAAAAGCGCTAAACGGTTATTCCTTAATTTCTAATGTCCATATATTTTTCCCTTATCTAATGTTTTGATTGAATTTTATAAAAAATTGTTTAATGCGTAAATGAGTGAAAAGGAGAGATTAATTAACTTGAAATTTAACTTGAAACCGGGAGGTCCTGGGTTCGAATCCCAGTGGGTGCGTACTGCCGATGATTCCCAAACTAGGATGAGACAGCAGCTGTCCAGTACTCCCTGGTTTTCAATGCTTCTCTAACTGATATCAATCCATGATCAACTCGTAAAAACATAACTAATCCTTACAAACCAAACTATAGAAAGTTAACTTGAAATCATGATATCTCTCCCAAAGCACAGCAACAACAACAACAGAAAGAGACGAATTTACCTCCATCAGCTATGTTTTGTTTTTTAAGGTGTTGTATTTCTTCTAACAGTTTATTCCGTTCACTTTCAATACTTTTAATTCTTTTCTGGAGAAAGAAGAAAGAGCAATAAAAGTGTGTGCGATATAAAGAAGCATATCATTAATAATAACATTTACTGTAAAAGTTCTATGCAATTTAAAGTATTATTTCTCTAGCATCCTAGTGTGGCCTATGAAATGTTAACGTTCGAAGTCTTTTTCATGCATAACTAGACAGTTCTAGGCCATACAGTCAACAGCCAGGCTCTACAAATCACTTGAATCCGATAATACTGATACCAGAAAGTTTGAAATTAAACATTGACCTAGTCTCTATATTGATGTGTGCAAGTACAAGTTTGACAGTGTTCCTGAATAAACTTGAAGCTTAAATTATTGCATATTATTATTATTGTTTCATTTAGTTCCTAGAGGAACCAAGGCCTCAGCCACACGTCTCCACGTCTGCCCACATGCTCTCATCTCCTCTTCACATGACCTCCTCTGAGTCACCCTTGTACGACCGACTCACCACTTCCCGTTCGAATTCCACTCAAGGGCCTGTCTAGTGATATCACTTGATGATTTGTTTCCTAAGAGTATGGCTAATCCATCTCCATTTATTCTCGCATATTTGTTGCACAATCGGTTCCTGCTGGGTTTATTCGTTCATTGCCAGAGATCCCTCCCTGTTGCTGATCTTTTCTGGCCGGCCATCTGGTCTTGAGTAGTATTGAACGAAGGCAGCTAGCTGTTTATGAAGGTCTGTAGTTTGCTTGAGGTGCTCTTTATGACGTGCACCGTCAAGTCTCTGATCCGTCTAGTAGCACTGGCTTCACATTGATGCAAATATAATTCCTCTGCATTGTTTCTGACTTTCGAAATAAAGGATATATGAGCAACAATGTACATTAAGACCTTTATCTTGAAACAGTCGAGTAATACCAAGGTGGAAATTGACTCCTCTATATTGAAAATGTAAAAACTTTACCTCGACAGAGATAAATAAAGTGTTAAATAATTTCAATAGCTACGAAATTCCTCACAGTCAGTGATGCTGATGCGTTACATTTCATCTGAGACTGTAAAATCTTTTAACTATAAGACTTTTTTCTGCAAATACTTACGAAATAAGCTTTTTATCACCATAAACAACATACAGCTATTCCTTTTTGTAATTACGTCGACACTTTGAATATTATAACCAGAACATTTTTCTTAAATATTACCTCAGCAAATAGTTGCAAATCAACACCTACACTTAGGGTATGTACATCTTGATTGTAACCATGATTAACTTAACACCAGAGGCAGTAATTATTTGACCATGTCGCATACAGATTGAAAGTGTCTGCTTTCAGTATCTATCGACTAATTTATGCTACACACAGAATTGAAATTTTATCGATTTCAAAAAAACAAGGGATTCATTCTTTAAATACTTAGGTTCAGAGCTACTATCTTATATTTTAAGATAAGTGAAGTATGTCCTTGACTTTGATACAAATATCTTTGGGGGGAACGTGAGTCGAGAAAAAGGAATAGACTTCTAGATCTCTTGATGTGCTTTCAGTTTACGCCAAAATTCCAGTAGCGTTATTCATTAAGCAGTCAGTAAAACAGTAATAACTGTGTTCCTTTTGTAAGATAGTTCTAAATTCACCCCACGTTTCTAACAGGTATGAACAAAACCTTTTCGATTTCCACTTATCCAAACATTTATCCAATGAGGAAACAGGCATAAAATGGACCCACACAAAAAACTTGGAGGATCTGGACTTCGCCGATGATGATATATGTCTGATTTCCCACAAACTGGAAGATATGCAAGTGAAAAGCTACAAGTTGCCGGGGAAATCATCAAAGATAGGACTTCAAGTGAACATAGATAAAACAGAGGTGATGAAGATTCCTGGCCAACACCAACAGCAGCAACAACAACAATCAGCATAAATGGGAGGAACCTGAAAGAAACAACCTCCTTTACCCACCGATCTGCGAAGTATCGTTTCAAATACAGGCGGAACTAACGAGGATATCAAAGCCAAAATCGGGAAAGCAAGACAAGCTTTCATTACTCTCAAGTCTGTGTGGAAGTCAACAGTACTCAGCATCAAAAATAACATCCGGATTTTCAACCCCAATGTGAAGTCAGTGCTTCTATACGGATCAGAGACTTGGCCAGCGCGTCATAAAGAGCATCTCAAACAAACTACAGACTTTCATCAACAGTTGTCTTCGCTCAATACTACTCAAGATCAGATGGCCGACCAGAAAAGATCAGCAACAGGGAGGGATCTCTGGCAATGAACGAATAAACCCAGCAGGAACCGATTGTGCAACAAATATGCGAGAATAAATGGAGATGGATTAGCCAAACTCTTAGGAAACAAATCATCAAGTGATATCACTAGACAGGCCCTTGAGTGGAATTCGAACGGGAAGTGGTGAGTCGGTCGTACAAGGGTGACTCAGAGGAGGTCATGTGAAGAGGAGATGAGAGCATGTGGACATACGTGGAGCCAGGTGAAAACGTTGGCAGAAAACCGAGCGCGATTGAGTTGCGCTGCTGAAGCCCTATGTCCCTCTAGGAATTAAAGGAAATAACAATAATTATAATAAAGGTTTTTGTATTTCCCACTGAATAAAAAACAAAACGATATTGTTTTTACTGTTTCGCTACTTAATAGTAATAATAATATCCAAACACACTAAAGCCAGTTTTATCGTTATCTCAAGAAGTAACTTTTATTTAAAAACAAAGGAGATAAGTTCAGCTGAACTATAAAAGCACTTTCCACACTACCTTCAGCTGACTACATGAATTTCCTATAAAGCACACAAGGCAGAGTAACAAAGAGTAGTGAGAGGTTGAATACTGTCGTTAGATAAAATCTTAATTACACGACCGAAAGCTGCTACCTTGACGTGGTGTTATGTACTAGTCGCTGAATTATTGTTATGGACTGGTCGAGAAACTAATAGTCCTGACGCGAGAAGGCGGAAATCAGAAGACCACTAGGTTTACGATGATACTTCTATTGTCCAAACACAAGGAGACGAAAAATAAATGGTCTCACACCAAAGTGATAAGTAAGTAAAGTAGTTGTAAAGTAAAGTAGTTCACACAAATTGTGAATGCGAATATATATAAATAATTCAGACAAGCGTGGGAAAAATCATTAGACAGTCTTAACATGAATGGCTAATTAAAATGGAGTGTCGATCCAATTATACATAGCGAATGTAGCAGACATGCCAACAAACATATATGGCTATATGTCACCAAGCAACGGACTGTCAACAAACACTCATATTATATATAATATAATATAAGGAGAATATACATTATTAAAGGAGACAAGTTCCCACAAGTGAAGTGGTCACAGACTAACCGAGCAAACAGAAAGAGAGACCAACATGCACACACACACATAAACATATATATGTGAATACATATCACCTCCCCTTTTGAGAAGATGGATGATTAGTAGGATGTTTACCTGGGGGTTTATCTGGGACCTTTGGGCTTGTTGTTGACGCCTGTCGTTTCGTCTGATTGTTGGGTTTGCGGCTTCGGCTTCGTCCGGGATTGTCTGGCATTTTATGCTTCTTGACTGCATTGAGTAGCGAATTTAGTGGGACATCAGCTAGATGCAAACGATCGAACCAATCAAGTCCCAAAAGATTTAAATCATTCTTGGTAACGTAACAAATTCCTGTGAATTTGGTATTGCGGAAGGAAACAAAACATTTGAGTTCACCAATAAGTTTGAGCCGCCCACCACAGGCGCTGAGAAGAGACTGGGAAGTATTGGTGATAGGTGGTCTGCCAATATAATTCCGAAGTTTCTCTGATATAACAGTAATATCAGAGGCGGTATCTAGCTGCAGACATGTATCATGACCATTCATCTGAAGGTCAATATATTTCCGCATAGCTGGTGTTGTGACTTGACGGGTTGCGCGTAGACTCAATGACTTTTTGGGGGATTCAGGACCAACATTTTGTTGAGCTTTCGCTGGATTTTGACATCTGGGTTTGCGTAGCTGACAAAAACCATTTTTATGACCGACGATGTTGCACTTGCTGCAACGATGATTTTTGTGCGGACAAGACTTTACAAAGTGCCACGCGCCACAGTGCCAGCATGGTGATGGAGGGGTCTTCTTTGTCGTATTTTGTGAAGTTGGACGAGTATGTATAAATTTCCGCGGAACATTAGGAGAAGTAGGTGGGTCAGGAGTAGCTGATGAGAGATTTTTGCTCTTGCGTAATGCACGAATATCAGAGCTTCTCGGAGGTGTTGATTCGACCAAGTGTGTGTCTTTCTGCAGATTAATCAGCCGTTGATATTCATCAGCTATGTCATGTAATGTTAACTTGGGATTTTGTTCTAGCTGATTGAGCAGTCGAGTTCGGATATCTGTGAAACGAGGAGATTGGAGACTGCATATGAGAATCAAGGCTTTGAACTGATCATCTGTTAAGGACCTGAGTCGAAATCTCACACATTCTCGGTTGACTGTGCCAACGTGAGTAAGAAAATCATCATTTTCATTCATTGCCAGCTTGAGGCAACGATAACGTATACTGAATAATGAGGAGTGGTCTCCGAAATGTTCACGCAGCAACTTTATTGTATCATCGAAACAATTGTCACGTGGTTTCTGTGGTAAAATTAGGTTGCAGTACCGTTCATATTCTGCCGGACCCAATTTACGTAGCAAAACTCGCACCTTCCAGGCATCGTCTTGTGAGGCGAGATCAACAGTGAATAAATCCTCATAACGTTGATACCATGTGTCAAAAGTGACATTAGCCTCTGGGTCATAATTGAACTGTGAAATGCTGTTCACAATTCCGTCGACAGATGGTAGCATGGTATGATTGGGATTGCTTGAAGGTGGAGCTGGACCAGTCTGTTGGTTGACGAACATTTCCATTAATTTCATTTGTCGTTCAAACAATAATTCCAATTTAATAGGATCCATAGTAAATTGTTATGTTGTTGCTGCTGTGTGGTTAATAGTAGTTTTCCCCGTCGCCAAATTGTTATGTTCTAG